TGTATACATCAAGAAACAGAATATTCGAATAGCAGTGTTTATGGTCTTATTGAAAATACTTATATTTTAGGTTTGTTCTGTTATATTAGCCGTAAAGCTTCCTTAAATATATTTTATGCATTTCTGTGATACAAAACACTGAACATCAGGATATATAAAACAATAATTTTACCTTTTGTCGTTTATGGTTTTGAGACATGGTCTCTTACCTTGAAGGGAGAACGTAGATTACATTTGTTTGAAAACGGGGTGCTCAGGCGGATATTTGGACCAAGGAGGGTTTAAATAATTTGGGAATTTAGAATTCTGCATAACGAGGAACTGCGTGAATTGTACGGGTCACATAGTGAGGATAGCGAAATCTAGGAGGATACGATGGGCTGGACATGTGGCACGCATGGGGGTACATACAGGATTTTGTTAGGGAATTCTTCTGGAAAACGACCACTGGGCAGACCAAGAAGGAGATGGGAGAATAACATTAATATGGATCTTAGGGAGGTGGGCTATGAGGATGTAAGTGGATGGCTTGGCTTACCCAAATATTCCATTCTGATGCTGTTTGTTTCCTTTAAGTCTGATTTTATGCAAGTCGCTAACATTCTAAGTCCCCTTTTCAAAACCCAGCAGTTTATTTGGGGTTTCCTATAGCCACGTAACCAATAACTCAAAGACATAAACTGTGAAGTTGGAGAGGGAATTCGAAATGATCCTCATGTGTACCAAAATAGTAACTTTATAGACTTCTTTCAAGAAAATATTCTTCGTAAGTTGGTAAAATGAAATATAACCTCGAATGTTTATGTATTTTTTTCTGTAAAATTCTCATATGGTAACACATACATATACTTTTATCATTGCTATTAAAAATTACATCTATTCACAGGGTGTTACACTTCTCTGACAACTTAAAAACATAACGTAAGAACGTTCACAAACCTCGGATTTTCGTTATAACATTTAAAAACACTAAGTAACATCTATTAAATTAAACTTAGCTGTAAATAACACTGCATAATGTTAATGTAAGGTTTGAACTAGCATTCTAAAGAGTTACAATAATGTTTTAATCCTTAAAATATATTGTTTTCATACTGATTTTATACTCAAATATCCATTCAGTGTTTCACGTCGCAAAGGAAAGTCGCTGACATTCGAAATATTGTTGTCATAAGTACGACAAATTCGCAAACTTAGGCCAAACTGCTTCTGAATTCTTCAGTACTTTTCTTTAGTTAATTTTTTTATCTTCTAAATGTAAAAAAAATGTTTTTGTCGTTATTCAAGATAATTAACCTCTGCTAATTACTTTAAGATTGCAAGAAAATTTGTTCTGATAACTGTCATCAGTTTTAAATCAGCGTCTGCGCGGATAGAGGAGAAAGCTTCTAAAATTAACAAAGTATTAACAAACTATTATACACTATCAGAAATTTAATATCGGGTTTAATTATAGTTTATTTCAGTGACAGTGTGAAATTGGCCGATGGATGCCAGGGTTTCGGAAAAAGAACTTACTGTCTCCATCTCAGGGTTGATGTGACGATACTAAGAATCAGGCAGACCTGATACACGATCCTTCTGATTCCCATCATACTCAATTCATCCCTGAAGATGGAAACAGTATGTTTCTCCGAAACGTTTGCATCTGTTCACACGGCCCACACGTCACCAAAACTTAAATAATATCATAACTGCGTATTTTATTAACCGATAATAGTTTGTCGTAAGGCGTGAAATGTTAAGTTGCGTTTGAGCACAGAGAATTTCTTCGAAATGTTGGAGACGAGATGTTGATATCCTTTTCTTTACACGAGGACACAGGTCACGTGGTTTTTGTTATTCCTACCCCTGCGTGACAATACAATATACGTCGTGCTGAAATTAGTGTTCCGTCCAACAAGTTACACGAGAACTCCAGATTAATATCGGCTAGTTATCGTTGCTGGCTCCCGGAAAGGGAAACTTTCAGATAACGAAGTCTCACTTCGCAGTTGGTTTCAGTTTGTCTCGCTGATTCAGTGCGATCAAACAAGGCAGACGTACAGACTCTAAAAGCGTGTAACGGAGAACCCTGGGGGGCTTCCCAAAAGGCTCCGAGGTACCCAACAGACGAATTTCTAAAGCAAAGACGTCGTTGGCCGAAAGCCATTCCACAAAAGTAATTTGCTGTTGAAATTATCTAACTCCGTCGATCAGAAACCCGTCTTGAGAAATTCGTAATCGTTCAGCTGTTCAAGAAATTCCCCGCTCGCCAGCTCTCCCTGACGCAACATTTGAAAATGCCTAGTCACGTGACTCATTGAGAAGACGCAGATTCGGGATTGTGACCAGCGCCTTATAAATTTATGCGGGTCTGTATTAGTCATATTGTTTTCAGTATTTGTTCTGATGAAAAGCTATGAGAATGTTCTCTTCAAAGCTTCTTCACTTTTGAAGGCATAAGAAAATTAAGCCATAGACCGGATGATGAATTGCTTTACGAATGCGAAGTTAGCCAATTAAGGACGCAAACGAGAAAGTTTACGACACTGGCAAAGAATGGGGACTTGAAGAGATTGATGAATATCCTAGTGCATTATGGTACGAAATTGAACATGGCGGAGTGCTAGAGTTCTGGCATTAAAACAGGACAGAAACGGAGCTTTTATAAATATTTAATTACGGCAGAATTCCAGTCAGTATAATGACGATGAGTCCTTGGGAATTTTATTTCTAGTATACGTTATTCTATTCCAGCTTTCATTGATTTTCCTTTCTCTAAGTTCATAATTGTCTATCGTACGAGTTAAGTTTCATTAGCGTTAGGTTCTTCTGGGTTGTTGCGTTGTCTGGTAGAAGTTTACCAGAGTTTCAGAAGTCTTTGCTGCCTCCATCATCAGGGCGATGTTGGTAAACTTTTACCAACTACACGGTGCTAAAATCCACACACCGTCCGTGAGAACCTCAAATCCTAAGTTGATTTTTCCAATAAGTGTTCATTGAATTATTGTGGACTGACGTGAAACTGCGACATTTTGTTTTATAAACACTTCCAAAAAAATTTTATTCGACGTTGATGACTGACTATTTTACGTTTTGACGTATTACGATTAAATCAGGAGGAATGCGATTGGCAAAACATGTAGCATGCATACGAAAATGAAGGTGTGTTTACAGTACTTTAGTTACAAGATCGCGTGGGAAGACACAATTTTGGATATGTGACGGGAACTGGATTTTAAGTCCGATGGGGGGATTTTGTTTTAACGGTTATGAAAATTAAGCACACACAATGACAATTAATTTGTTGTTCTGAGACTGTGAAACGAGAAACGTATTTTTAAGCTGATTACGAGGAATGAGACGAGTGTCCGTGGCCTACTTAAAATACTACCACTGCAGTCAAGTCGACAAAATGGAGAAGTTAACAGAATATCGACCAGACGATAATCTACGATTTCATTTACGTCAATATTAACACAAATGCAATAGGCCAGCTCGTATTTGGACCTGTAGGCCTGATTGTTTTGCATTTAAACAAGTTGGAGTTTTCATTCATAGCGTAAGAGTGTCTTCCGCTTGCGAATTAAAGGTATCATTTAAATATATAATATAAATATATAATAATTGTTGTGCTGGTGGTGTTTCTACCTTGCTTTCGTCCTGATTGGGTACCGCTGCGGTACAACCAATGTCACGAACGTGAAACCCGAAAATTATGAATGATAAGTGAAGGTAATAAGACCATTCGAAGTTTAATTAATTTTTTCATCATGTTAAAATAATTTATCTGCATCAAAATATCATGACCAGAAGAAAATAATTTTTGAAACATGCATTATCAACACTTTGTAGACAACGTGGCCAACCAGAGAATTTATTTTAAAATGTGTAAATTCAGATAGACCATATTAAAGTCTTCTTTGTTCGGTGTGTGTCGCCGTAAAGCTGTCTTAGTATACCACACCACACCACACCTCTTCGTGGCCGCGTTTGTCGGTAAGTCGCCATTCTGAACATCTGACACGGCCAAATGCAAATTTCATCAGCCGCTCAGCTCTGAAGCAAGAATCTTGCTATGACATGAAGCCCTGTCTTTTAGAGATGAAGAACGAAGACTTTAATCAGCACCAAAATTAATTTACTTACTTCAACAGGGCGAGAAAGTATTTTAAACATCTAGAAATTTGCGATATAAAATGCATATGCTACGTCTTATCCCCTGTTTAAAGGAGATGTGAGAAGGAAATGCACCAAACTTCGCGGCCGATAGCATAATCCGCTGACGTCATTTTCGGAAGTTTCCGAGTTCAAATCTCGCCCCCGTAGAACAGCCATCCTGACTGAGATTTTCGTGTTCTTCCTCAGTCCCCCCGTGAAGACTTCGTGATCGTGCCTTCAACTTTTATTGTGTGTTATTTATTGATCACCCTATCATTAGACGCTGAAAACTGACCGTCGTTAAGCAAACCACAAATAAGAACTACGTAAAAGCACAGAAAATTTTTCTTTATTTATTCATTACGGAGACTAACGCTCCGGCATTTCGTATCTGAAAGTTATATGAAAATTGCGTCCTCTGTTATTCACAAAATAAAATTATATTTGCAAACGTCGGACGACGCGGAGGTAACGACACAGTTTGTGTCGTTTCCATGGCACAGCCTGTGAATCTATGGCGGCGAACTGGTCGTATTACCTTCAGGTACCTTTCGTGTTACACAGTGTTAATTATTTGAGGTAGGATTATTTTAACACAAGCAGACTCAGTTTATTTAATTTCGAAATTTCTAAATTTTTTTGGCTGAGTCTAAAAGAGGAAGAGTCAATTGAATAAAAATTTTCTTGGATATTATCCATCGTCTAGTAAATATAAAACGTAAAAAACGACGTTTCGGAGATGGGACTCTATCTCCGTCTTCAGGTTCCTACACAGTTGGGCCCACTAGATAGAGCTAATCCCCATCTCCGAAACGTCATTTTACGTTTTATATTTACTAATAGAGTCCCATCTCCAAAACGTCGTTTTACGTTTTATATTTACTAGACGATGGATAATATCCAAGAAAATTTGTATTCAATTGACTAAAAGAGGATCTTTGAACTCTTATTTGAACTCGTGAAAACAGTCAGGTTCAGGTTTAATGTGTTCTTAGTCTGACATTAAATTTCTTGTAACGAGTCTGAGAAACATCCTGAATATTTTAAAGTCACGATTTTAGCATTCATCGATAAGTGATAGTCGTACATCACTTGCGTACATCATGCGTCGAAATACACGCCACTGTATTCGGAGGTTCGCACAGAGATCGATCTAAAAGTAACTAGACAAACAACCATTCACTTACGCGTTCACACTGGAGCACTGCGGTGTCTCTTGGCGTCTGTCTACATGACGCTGCATATCAGACCGTCACTTAGCACACCCTGTAGAGCGGGAGTGCTGTCCAGCGAGAACATTAGATCATTATTTCCGTTTGAATCGTCGTATGTCCCATACCGTGACTGAAAACAGGGAAAATTATCGAAATTATTTGTGAGAAATGTAACAGTGGGTTACGGAGATGACTGTCTTCAGGATTGTAGATTCCTGTAGCCACTGAGCAACGTTTCGGAAGCGCTTAGTACGTCCATTACCAGGGTCATTGCATTGATGACGGACGGAGCGCCTCCGAAACGTCGATCACTCCCTACCACGCGGCTCTACGACGTTGAAGAGAATCATCTTCATAATCATCGCCGTCAGAACCTAAATCCTACCATGTGGAAAAGCATTGATGTTCTGTTAGAGGTTAGGTTAGGTTAGGTTAGGTTAGGTTAGGTTGGTAGCCATGTATACTAATAAAATAAGGCTGGGGAACGTTGCACAACAAATATCACATTAGGTGCTTTTCATAAGATGAGATAGGGAGGCATGTAGCACGAATTGTGACGATGAGAACGTCGCTCAGATTTCGTCCTTTTTCTTTACAACACACAAGATGATAATATTAAAAAATATAATTTTAGAGAATTAATTAGTGTTAATGTGAACTGAGCCACTCCGACTGTAGATAAAAATTCAGTGGAGGACCCTTGTGAACTCTTTAATAAAATTCCTTATTCCGAAAATGAGTAGAATTAATTTAGTTGGACAACTAACAGCTTCTGAAAAAGGACTGCACATCATGGGCGTTTCTTAGTCGCCTTAGAACGTTTCCATTTCTCTCCCTTTCTTGAAAACAAAGTAAAGTGGTCAGTCGATGGTCGGCAATCACAGAAAATGACTCATGTATTGACTTTTGGAATGTGAGCTTCACCTGACACTTCGAACACGGGCAGTGTTCGTGAGACGACGTCGACTGTTGAGCTATTTCGGGGGGTAGCATCACCCTTAAATGACGCGGTGTTTCCGCTAGGCCTCGGATTGTCATCATGTCTTCTTGCTTCACCGGAAGATTCACTCTTAAACCACCTCCACGCCCTCCTGCCACACTCCCAGTCTGCAAGTAACATACGACATTATATGGTCACTTTCGGAGATCCCATCCAATCTTAAACTCCCCCCCACCCCCACCCCGAACATGTCAGCGTCAAAATTCATAATTTCCATCTGATGCATCCTCTGTCCTTGTTCATGATTTTATATTCTCGTCTTCCGAGCACCTTACAAGAAAGACGAGTGGGCACTGCCTGGAGACCTCATAGCCGGAAATGTATGTTTCCCCCAGTTAAATACAGGGTCTCTTACTACTCCCCCACTTTATCTTTTCTCTGTCTCGTTTATTAGTGTTTCAAAGGTTAATTACATATAAAGCAGTTAACTGAGGAACACTCTGTATAGTCAAGTCTTCAGTGTCGATACCTTGCACTTGGAGCAGTTACAGAAGCTCTGTTGCTGCAGGCCGTGAGATGTCGAAGAACCGGATGGCTGCTGCGGCCAGCGGCGAGGGGGCGAGGGGTTTCTTGACGGCTTGGTTGCGTTCCGAGGCGGCAGGGGTGGAGGCTGCGATGTCGAATTGGTCGCTATTTGTTGCTGTTGATGCTGCAATCTTTGGGCGAGGTACTCTTCGTAGCTCGGCGGATGCCCCATCTGAGTGGAATAAGAAAAAGAAGAAGAAGAAGAAGC